TTTGCCTATATATCAGTAGCTTCATAAAGTTTATGGGATGGCTATTGAATGGGTAATGCCACCCAGTGATGCCACCCATAAACTGAATGATACTTATTTTTCAAATTGTCTATCCAATGTTTTCTCCATTGGTTTTACTTTCTCCAGAAGGTCCTGTATTAAAGGACAATAACCACTCTGTCCCCATTCTACTGTTTTCCCCCTACTCTTTCATTTACATGTAAACATCTTTAAGTCTTAATATTTCTCACTATATTTTAAGGGGACAACATGGACAGCAAAGGAACCTTGTTAGGTAGCTAACATTAGCCTTTCCAAAGTACCTCATCAATAGTGAAGTTAAATTATTTTTAGATTCTACTTATCCAAAAATATTTGTCTTCTACCAGAGTTAATTTCCAGGGGGTTGAGGCTCAGCTCTCTTTAGTAATTCTCATGTTCTCATGTCTTTTATTTTGAATATGAATATTATTTGTGTAGCCTATTTCTGATCTCCATGTAAATTCAATTTTTTGAAGATGAGATTTCATATCACTGTTAATACCTGCAGACTTCAAAAATTTTATAGTATATTTGGAAAATTCTGTTGGTTCTCAGTAACATTTCCAGAGAGAGAAAGAGAGAGAGGAAAAAATACATTGCAATTTTCTTTTACTTCAACATTTATGGCTATTATTTTTAAGTTCATTTTCTTGGCAATGGAAAACGTTACTATTTTTCAATAGGATAGTAACCAGTCATCACTAACTATCAAAATGTAGCAGAGGGGGCTGGGGATTTAGCTCAGTTGTTCCCATGCCTGCCTCAAAAGTGCAAGGTCCCTAGTTTGATTCCCGGTACCAAAAAAAAAAAAAAAAAAAAAGTAGCAGAGGATTTATTCCTTTCCTATCTTCCAGTTCCTTGAAAAATTAATGTTTTTAGAAGTTACTCTAGAGACGTTTACAGAAAATTATTGATTTAGAGGGAAGTATATCATAGGCATGCATTGATTGAACATTTGGGAATGGGTGGTAGTTTTATTGCACTATCTATGGAAGAACCATCCTCCCAGTCCATAGAATGTGTTGCCTACAGCCCCAAATCTGTCACAAAGATTGATGGTGCATTCACATGTGTAAATACTGAATAATTTCTCTGGTGTGAAAAACTAAAAATGTAAATAAGGATCAAAATGTATAATTGATATTGTGAAAATAGAAAGAAAAGGTTTAAAGGAGTAGGGGAAGTGGGAGGGGAAGGGGAAAGGAAAGAAGGGAAAAGAAAAAATATGAGAAAAGGAAAAACATGGACACAAAGTCTTTGCAAATAGGAAAGGGTGGAGGGGGTGAAGGGAGGGCTAGGAATGGGGAAAAAATAAGAACCAAGATACATCATGTGAAGGTACAAGATCCCAATGATGAATGTAACTGTATTGTATACCTAAAATGTACCAATAAAATTAATGGAAAAAAAAGATTGATGGTGCAAAAGCTTCACGAGACAATTCAGCTCAATACGCTGGGAGATGTTTTTACGAAATTCACTGGAAGGCTCAGTCTTAAATAAATACCAAACTCTGCCATCACAAAGTTTCCTCTAGTATAGCATTGGTCTATCATGAGCCCATCTGGATGCCTTTGTAATAGAATATTGTTCCTAGTGATATTAATTTTGTAGCATAAATGTACATATCACATAGTTTTTTGTTATAAATTTGAAGTGAAAAATTGTTCGGAAGTTATTTCGTAATATTAATAGCCACATACTGGAAAACTAAAGATGAAATGTGGTAATAGTATATAAGAGTTGAGTTGTATCTCCCTAAGATTCTGATGTTGAAGTCCTAGCCAGGATACCTCAGAATATGACTCTATTTGGAGATAAAGTCTTTAAAAGGGTTCTTATAAAAAACGCGGTCATTGGGTTTGGTAGTAATCTAATATGACTGCTATTACAAGAAGAAAGTTGGACACAGACACACAGTAGGGAAGAACATGTACAAACAGAGAGAAGACTGTCATTTACAAGCCAGGGAGAGAGGTCGGAAAAGAAACCAACCCCGTTGACACTTTGATTTGGGGCTTTTCTAGCTTTCAGAATTGAGGGAAAATAAATTTTTCTTATGTTAGTCACTCAGTAGTACTTTATTATGACAGCTCTAGCAAAATAATATACTTTCTGCAACAATAAGAAATCTCACTGAATTTTTATTGTGTGTTTAGATACAGTTCTCAAAGCTTGCTGTTCAGGTGAAAGATGTGGTCATAATTACAGTGAATTCATTAATAAATAAAACTGCATTGGGAATTTTAAAGCATATTTGAATTTTCATAAACTACTACATGTCCAAGAAAGGTAACACAGCCAACCATTATAATAAATGTTTCTGATTTTTAAAAATAGCTTTCTGTTTAAATGAAAGTAAACAGAAGAACAATTAACGTTTATTTTTCCCTGGTGTAAGTATCAGCTTATTTTAAAGCTAAGTTCTGAGATAGTTGAACAGGGGACTGGACTACCAAGATTAAATGAGCAGAGTCCCAAGAGGAGTTTATTGTAAAGCAAGAGTCACTTTTGTAAAAGGATCACTGACATTAAGAAACTCTATCTTAGGATATCATGTCATGACTTTTCATAAATGATTCCTTCCATTAGAGAAATCTATGTTATCTTAGCATAAATGATTATGGAAATAACGTTGTGTCATTATGATATAGAGTAGTGCAAGGTGCAATGATTCAATTTAAACAAAAATTGCTGTTGGTGTCCTATGGCTTGCCATTTTCTTGGCAGGCTTTCACAGTATTTGATCAAAATGGATACAATGTGTTTTAAATGGAATTATATCCCTGCAAAACTCTTACATTGAAGTACTAACTCTCAGTGTTTTAGGAAATAGTGTTCTTAAAGAGTAACTAAGCTTCAGTGAAATTAGATGCATGGTCTTGAATCCATAGAGCTCGTGTCCTTATAAGAAGAAGAAGAAGAGAAACTAGGGGTGTGAGTGCATGGAAGAAAGAGTACGTGAGGACCACAAGAACACAGCCACCTGTCAGGCAAGAAGAAAGTCCTCGGGAGGAACCAACTTTCCTTCTACCTTTACCTTAGACTCCAAGAGTGCAGAACCATGAGAAGATAAACTTTTGTTGTTTAAGAAACCCAGTCTCTGGTGTTTAACTATGGCACCCTTAGCAAACCAATGCAAGGCAGGTCTTACACATCTGTTGAGAACATAGGAACTCACATGGGGGAATCTGTGATACTTTCTGAAAAGAAATAGTTTTCAACACTGCATTTTGGTTTCCTATTTATAGAAAGTCAACAGTTTGTGTTATGTTCGACAATATAGGATAAGGTCTGTTTCATACATGTACAATTCCAATTTATGCAAAGTCACTCATTTATATTCATGCTATCTTTTTTCTTTCTCAATCATCAAATGTATTTGAGGAAAGGAAAAATCAGCAGATAATTTAGAATCCAAATTTTTAAAAAAATGTTTTTGTAACAGAATAATAACATTTATGATACGATTTTTAATGGCCTGAAATACTGCAGTAATATTTAACTGCCCTCTTAAAATTTATTTCTGAGTATGGACTCCCCATTATGCTGGTAGAGAATTATTTTTCATTAAATGTTTATAGACACAAGCTACGATAGTTTCATACAGGGAATTATTTAAAGAACTATCTAAATACCCATCATATCTTTAAAGTATAGAGTCAAAAAGGGATTGACATTTTTATATTTTCTATTAATACTGTGGCTTTGGTTTTATATTTTTGGTTTTGTATTCTCCAAGATTATTTGTGTGTGTGTGGGATAAATAGTTGCCCTAGAACCAATATTTTTTTAAATGTTTGAAAACACAATACTTAGAATGACAATATGTAATATGGAAAAAAGTTACAGAAATATATTAGTTTGCATATCAGGTGACTTAATTTTATTTCAGCAGAAATTTTAGAGAAGGTATAAGAATTGTAGTAAATAGCAGTAGTATTTACTCTCTCATCCACGATGTTACATAGAAAAACAGAGTGATACAGGTAAATGCTATTTGAGAGGAAAATGTAGCCATATTGTTTCATTTCTTCATTAAATTCAGAATAAAAGTAGATTAAAGTGAATTTCAAAAAATTATGATGTATAATACAGCAAATACCACTTTGTGAAACATATGTGACTTTTAAATATTGCGTTTACAAGTTCAACAAAAGGTTATCAAAGTCCGTAAAGTCTTATTCCAGAACACCAGTATCTCTCAGCGGTTAAGTGGACTTTTTGCAAATGGCTAGAGTTGCTCCACTCAGTGTCATTGGAGCACCCGCTCCTTTCTGTCTTGTGCAGTCCGTCCTTCAGGCATGTCCTCCATGCCAGAAAAGGAAGGTGCAGCTGTGCCTTCCAGGCTCTGAGCATCCACCTTTGTATTTCCATCAAGGTAGGCTGCTCCTGTTGTTTCCCCATGCCAATGTTTGATGCCCTTTCCAAATTCTCTTAAATACAAACGTGGCATATTTTTAAATTGATCTACGCATTCTAATAAATCACTCTCAAAATGATCTCATTTGTCTTGGAAAAGCAGTGATTTTCACCATGTTAGAAAAGAAAAAAGGAGATAGATCTATTGCAAAAGGAAAGGTGATGACGAAATGGAGGGAGGGATGGGGAGGAAGGGGTGGGAAAGATGATGAAAAAAGAATTGAGATGTGTTTTATACATGTACCAACACCCCATGATGAATGTGATTGTTACGCACTCTAAAGGTGTACTAATAAAAATAAAAGTTAAAAAATAAAATAAAATACATGTTGGATAATATTCATTAAAAAAAGAAAAGTGTAAATTTCTGTTAAGTGAATGGATGCCTTTAGTGTTTAAGAGTTGCATCAGAAGAGGCTGTTGAGCTTCCCCTGGTGAGGAAGTCCCTTGGAGGCCTGGGTTTGGGCAGACTGTACAGGACTGCCCGCAGTCACACTGTCAGTCTGCTTCTCTACATCTGCTGCTAGGAATTCCTTTAATACCTTTTCTCAGATTCAAATATACTCAGATTCTGGGTGCATGTTCCAATGTTTTAATTTGGTATTTGCTTGCTTTGTAGCTTTTAGCACTTGACAGAGGTAATAGATTAGGAAATTCTAAAATAGATGTCTTCTGCCTGAAATTATTCCGATATGAGACTGCTACATAATTGTTATTATTATTCTTATTCAAATTCTCTTTATAATATTCTGCCACCACCTCATCATCAGTGTTAGTAACCTGTAAAACTTCTGCACCATCAGGTTCATTAGTTTTTTCATTTTTCTCCTTTTCAGCACTCTGCACAATCACATTATTGTTGTCATTAAGATCCATTCCACTTGTTCTTTTATTCTTTGTATCTGCAGATTCATTCAGCTTATCTTGCACATTCATATTTTCTACCTTCTCATCATTTCTGGCTTCATATATTCTCATTTCTTTAACTCCTGTAACATCCTCTTTCTGATACTTAGGAGTGGATGGCAGATATGGCTGTAGGAAAGAAATGTCTGGTTCTTTATTTTCCAGAGTTTTAAAATGTTCCACCAGTGATTCAGTTTTAAATTCAGAGGATAGAGGAGTTGTCACTTCAGGTGGCCATTTAGGCTTATTTATTTTGAGATCGCCTTCAAAGGGAAAGTCTTTCTTAGGCATCTCCCTGCAAGGAGGCCAAATGATTTTTAATTTTCTTCTTTCCCCCAGTTTTCTCAAATCATCCCTTTGCCACTCACTGTCACCAGCATCTAAATGTTTTGCAAGATCTTCAGGTATGAGAGTGCTTGCTGTGGTGCTTGTACATATACTTGGTTCTTCATTGAGAATAAAATCCACTGAATTGCTTTGGTTTTTGTAATTCCACCTGTCTTTATTCTGTTTGTGTCCAAAACTGTCATCATAATTTCCTTTAGTTTTAAAAAGTTGTTTAAAGTGAGGTTTACAGTATATTTGTCCATGAAGTGATACATAATTTCCCAAACTGCCAGAAAGAAAAAAGAAAAACTTAGCATTTTGTATATTTACTATAAATACATAGAAAAATTAAAGAATTATCCACTTTAGTAATGATTCAGACTCAATACAGTTAACTTACTAGCAATCAGAATGACTGTATTAATTGAACAATTCTATTAAATAATAGCTACCACTAATATGTCTCATGATATATATCTTGAACTATTTACAATTTTATGATCCATGTCACTTACTGGTATAATATAGTGGTACATTCTATAATGCAAATGCAGTTATAGAACAGTAAGACTAAACCTGTGCTAACAATGATTTATGTGAAGGGTTATAACTTTCAATAAATCTTGAGTAGCGCACACATACATGAATCAACTATGTGAATTTCCTTGTTAGCTGTTTTTTTAATTAATCAGAAGGTTTGTTTATGCTATTGTTTACAAGCCCCAAGAAAATCAACAAACAGAATGCTTGATAAAATTAAAATCACACATAAAAATCAGCATATCAGGTAAATAGTGGAACCTTTGGGCAACCTTTACAACAAAACTAAGTGACAAGGTAGCTTGAAGGGGCTAAGAACAAACCACCAATAGGCACAAGACCTCCACGACAGTCTCGTCTCTATGGATGACAGGAGGGGGAGTAAGAAAGGTACCTGATGGATCTGAAAATGAGACAACAGAACAAGTCAATACTTCCTGGAAGTATTAGAACCAATCAGAGAATAGCTCCCAAAACTGGGAGGTTTTTTTTTTTTTCCTTTTCATCTTTCCAGTAGCCAGTGTTAAGAATGACTGAAGAGATTTATAAGCTGAACTCTCAAAACTCACCTACCATGGATCATTATGAGAACAGAACCCAAAACTGAGAAGGAAAAGTAGGAGTGGGATGAAAACTGAGCAGGATAATGACAACAGATATGAAAGAGATCTGGATCAAGATGAGAGAGTGAAACAAAAGGCCATGAAGTCCCAGAGGTCTACTCACACTATTAATTTCAGCAGTATTTGAAAAGTAATAGAAGTAGGTCTGTGAAATCAGAAAAGTCACCCTGAATGTCATCTCCTTTTGAAGACTGGGAAAACTAATTTCTTATAAAAATGAGTGACACAAATCTATTGAGGAAATGGTAAGCAAAGTTATTTTGACAAAGTGAAAAAGTAAGATGCATTATCCTCACAAGTAATGAAAACATGCCACAAAACATGCTCTAAAACAGATAAACAAATTTAACTTTGGATTCCAAAATGAACTAAAAGACATTAAGAACATGGTATGGCTGGTATCTAGATGTCCCCCCAATGTCTCATCAGCTTGTGGACCTTTTGGAGGTGGCTGATTCTAGGGAATGATACTGGGATTAAGGGTGTGTAATATTAGACTAGTTCACTAAATTGGTTTAGCATAGATCTGAGTGTGGATAATAGAAGCCCTATCCTGGGTGTGTGTGGCACCACCCAAAAGGGTCCTAGCTTGGCTGGGATAAAAGGGAAAGGGAGGCTTACTGCTTGTGGGTTGCTGCCTTCTGCCTGCTATGCCATGAACTTTCTCCCCTGTGTTATGTCTCTGCCATGCCAACATGCCTCAGAGCCAGCCAGCCATGGACTGGAACCTCTACAAATTATGAGCTAAAATAAACCTTTCCTCTTTTAACTTGCGGGTGTCATGTATCTTTTCCCAGAAATGAAGACGTTAACTAAGACAGAATATGATAAAAAAAAAACCTGAGAGTACAAAATGAAGGAAAATTAGAAAAGCTCATAATAACCTCAGAAATCAGAAAATAGAAATCAGGAAAAATGGAAAAGAAAACATTCTTAGCAATAAAAACCAAAAGAAGCACAAGATCAAATTAATGTCATAGGATATTAAATAGAAACAAAAGAACATAAAAATGAAATTTTAAATGCTCAAGAGAAATAAAGAAATGTGAAGGATTAAAGAGAAAGAGAAAGATACTAAAGATAGTTTAAAAATAGCCAATATACAGATAATGGGAATTCTTAAAGAAGAAAACTAAAGTCATAAAACAGATAAAATATTCAAAAGCTGTAATTGAAAGTAACTTTCTTGTTTTAAAATAGTATGTAAAAACATTTTGAAAGAACACATGAGGCAATTTTCAGTATTGACCCTGAATAATCAATGCCAAGAACTATTCTAGTAGAATTACTGAACTTTAAATAAAAACGAAAAGAAAAAATTCTCTGTAGCTTAAGAAAAAATGTCTTATTAGAAAAAGAAAATTACATTATCATCAGACCATTCTAACACTTTATGCCAAAAAATGAAATAATGGATTTAAGATATAGTCAGTGAAAGTCAATGTATGCCAAGGATTTTAATTTCAGCAAAATTGACTTTCCACTACAAAGATCTCAAATTTTTATCAGTATGTAAGAACTTAGAGAATACTGCTCTCATGAGCCTTTTCTGAACAAAACAAGCTTCAGTGACCAGCCTGACTATTAAAACAGCAACATGAGGATTTATGGTAGGCATTCATATTTGCTATCCTGAACTAAGATGATAGGAGGGCAATAATGAAACTATGAGATGCAGTGGCTGTATGATTTTGCACTGAAGATATAGTGTAATATAAAAATGGGAAGTGGGTGAATGAGGAGACAAAATGTATTTTTTAAAAATATTTTGATTAAAAAATTGGTCACTCTTATGGATTTTTTTACTCAAAAACTGTTATACAAATAAATACAGAGTAGCCTCATTCTGTTATCTCCTTTATGTCTGAGAACTGAGCCCTAAAGTGGAAAAAAAGAAATAACAATAATACCGAAGAAGAAGCTAAGTAGAATGGTTGGTTTTGAATTATTTTGAAATACCATTATGTGTTTATAATATAATATATGTAAATATTTATTAGCCCTTTCCATTCACAATATTTAGAAAAAATGAGTAACCTAGTAGAACGAGTATCATTGAGTATTGTTGACTTGAAATAACATTTCTCACTAAAAGAAACTAGGGGTTGCAGAAATGGCTGCATCTAGGTCTGGGACAGAAAATGTTGAAGATAGCTTAGAACATCTAGTTCTACCAGACAATGAGGAGGTTCTCAAATATTACTAAGGTCTTGTCAAAAGCACTCTAGAGAAAAAAAAGATACCCACTGACCAGTCAGAAGGCAATTTAAGCTTCAGTAATTTTTTTTTTTGAGACAGAGTCTTGCCTTATAGTTCAGGCTGGCCTTGGACTCATTATGTAGCCCAGGCTGGTCTCCAACTCGTAGCAATCCTCCTGCCTCAGACACTTGAGGGCTAGGATTATAGGCGTGCGCCACCATGCCTGGCCCTTCAGTAATAATTATTGTTTGATTGAACTCAATCAAATAACAGTTTTTCTTAAAATGTTAGTTACCTTCTGGGAAAGATAAAGGACAATTAATATTACTGAATAAATAATCAATATATTAATTGGTAAATAAAGGCAAAGAGTTATGATTATTTTGTATTTCCTCCACCAAATGTACCATTGTATAAAGAAATAGTAGATGAGAGGAAGTATTTCTTTGTAAAAGTATTTTAAGAAGTGAAAAAGAAATGATGAAATTAGAATATTACATTTTTGCAAATACTAAAGAGTGAATATAGATAGATATTGAGTCTTAATATTTTCTGTAATCACTGAACAAGAGACAATTAGATGTTATGTGCTTATTCTTCTCTTGCCAACACTACTTACATGTTCTTGGGAAAGGAATAATAATCTAGGTCTAGCTGAAAGTTTAGAAGAAACAGAAGACAAAAGAGCATGTTGGCCTGCACTGAGTGTGCAACTGTTAATGCCAGCATCAACAGTTCTACAGGTCATATGTCATGGGTCTTCACAGACAAATTGAAATAAAAGAATGGAGGAGAAACCTATGGATTTAGAAGGACTTTAAAGACATACCAAGTTTAAAGACAAGACTAAAGTATACTGTTTAGGAAAACATTTGGAAAACAAACTATAAAAATGCAAGAAAGTGATTAAAGAAAACTACTTATGGGAGAGAGAAAGGTGTTTGTGATTAGGACAGGTTCATAATGGAGGATGAGGATGGTGGAATGGCTGCAAAGCTGGATTTCTTAACCTTGGTAGTGGTTACAAAGTGTTCACTTTGTAATAAGTTATTAAACCATATATTTATTTAGTTTATTTGATTTTCTGTATCTGTGAACATATATATATATATATATATATATATATACACACACAATCAATATTTTTGGATTCTTATCATATGTCACCCTGTACTAGATGTTTGGAATGCAAATATGAATCCAATAAATGCTAGGGACAATTACATTAGATTGTGTTAAGAACAGGGCAAGCACAGGGGATTTTGTGGGAGCGTAGGGAAAGACATTTGACCCATTCCTAGAGGTCACAGTAAGCCACATGGATAACATAGTCTCGGTTGAGGACTGAAGAACGAGTGGACATTAGCCAGAAAGATTTGTGGAAGTCGGTTATGGGAAAAACCTCCAAGGACTAGGATGACATTTGGGACCAGCTATTTATGAGAAAGAAAAATAATGATTTGGGGGAGCGCAAAGAAATTCAGTCTGCATGAAAAGTCACATGTAAATAGGATAAGGTAAGAGTACACAGAGGTGTTAGCTACAAGGGGCCAGGTCTTGAATTGCCTTTTCATTCATGTTTCCATTTTAGATGCTTTTGGAAAGGGGAAGCTATTATAGATTTTAACTAGGTGAGTACCTCAGATTTA